TTTAGATTAAGTTTTATTTGGGAAAGTAATATGAACCCTCAACAAGTGCTGGAGTAAAGTCATTAAGTCGATCTTATTTGAAATCAATTTTGGACAATAAAGCTTGAGGTTTGGTTCCATTTGATAAAGAAAACAACTGGCAGAGGTTATGGTTGGGTACGTAGACCACATACAGAAGTTAAGGGAATGCACTTCAGTATATATTGGAATAGGATGGTGGTTACAAACACTGTCTGTAAAAAAATGGCATCATTTTGTAATTAAAATAATAATAATGACGCTACTGTTTGCGACATTCGATTAAAATGCTTCGAATTTTAAGCCGAAACACGATTCTGAAATACTGGAGAGTTACTAATTTCAAACCTTGGCAAGTGAGTAGAACCAAAGATAAATGTGCTGTATTTGACATACACAGGTACGTCACATACAGTGGTGATTGAAACTCGATTAAGTCCTCAATCTGCTACCTACACTGTAAAAACAGTGTTTAGCTCCTAAACACATTTCTAAGCGCCTGTTTTGTCTCATTTTTTCGACACGTTTAACTCCTAAGCACGTTTAGCTCCATAACATGATACACTTTCAGACCGAATGTGTTTAGCAGTGTGACGCGTTTGACGCCTAATATACGTAGGGTGTATTGGTTTAATTTTTAGGTGCTAAGGGTTTCAACTGTTTTAGCCACACACACACACACACACACAGAGAGTCACGGTCACCTTTAACTGCTATAGCTATCTCTATCTATAACAGGGTACTGTGAACTGTCAACCTCGTTGACTTCATGCCTTCACATTTACAGCTAGACTTATTCATCCTTGTGCTAGCTGACCATTCGAGGAAGTTAATTGGAATGTATTTCTGAAAATGTATTTAGGAAAATTCACTAGTTCACTAAAGACACGAAGCAACAATTACTTTTATTTTAAAACACCTTTTTTTCATATTTTGATAAAATGTGTTACGGTATTGATGTCTATTTATTTTTTCCGGAAGTAATGAACAATAGAACATCAGGATGATGGTGGGATATTCATTATAATAATTTATTTAAGCTTTCATCACATGCTGGTTATTTCGGTACCGATAGTCCGAATATTCTACAATCTAGTCGCCGACTAACCTCAAGCCCATTTTGGAATTAACCGATAACTGTAGTTCAAACAGCATAAGACGTGTTTCGGTTATTTATAAAAAGGTTTTCAAAAAATTATATAATGTTTTTCCAGAATGTTATAAAAACGCTGATAAAACTCCACAAAATAACGATATTATAAAATTTTGTAGAAATGGTCTTCGGATCTTTCTACAAATTATAACGTTATTATACATCATTTTGCATGGAGTTAAAAACACCCATAACGTTACCATAATGTTCTTCTATACCATTACCAGCATGTAACCATCTGATAACGTCGTAAAAAAACGTTATTTGTTATTTGGATTATTACTTAAAGGTACATATGAACCGAGCATCGGTCTAGCGTGGGTTGGCAGTAACACATATAAACCAATTCTACTAGATTCTTATACGGCTCAAATAAATACGACCAAGGGCCAAGGGACAAACTGAATAAATCACTCGATCAGCAATAAAAGAGCTTTAGACTGCTCTTTAAATTTTTGGTTAGAAATTTAACCTACTTATGTGACCTGCTTTTCTGCCCCATGTATATACAGGATAGTAAGCTAGCAGAAAAATCCATTCAAAATTCATTTTTCGGGTAATATTAAACAATGCCTTCTGGCATTTTTCTTAATTGTACTGTTTGAAACTATATGGTGGCATTTGGTTGGTTTTTGTGGCAAAAATGACTTTGTATGCATCTTTAAAAGGCCTATTTCATATAAGCACACGTTACTGCAAGGAAGGACACCAAGCATTCGGGCAGGCCGCTCTACCCCTTCAACAGCTCCACACGTTTACAACAGGAAGTGTTAAGCCAAATTGTTGAGCCTTTTAATAAAGAGGAAGTGTTAAGCCAAATTGTTGAGCCTTTTAATAAACTTATGGGACCGGTGAAACTAATCACTTAGCTAAAAGTGCAACACTTCTAAGCATGTTAAACATTTTTTATTTCTTCTGAAAGAAGCTTGAAAAGCTAAACGTGTTGTTCAGCTACCCTCTACCAGGGACACAGATTGATTTTCACAGATATTCACAATTGTGTCTCTTGATAAATAGAAAGCCATTTTGGTCTGATGTCGCCTCAGCAAAAAATGTCCACAATAACTGCAGCCCTGGTAGAGGGTATTGTTCAGCAGCTCCACGCGTTTAGGAATTCCACACTGAAAGCAGCTCCATATGTTTAGCAGTCTCACGAGCTTAGCCAATGTGCTTAGCTTGTGATAGACTTATTATAGATTCATATACCGGTGAAGCTCAACACATAGCTAAACGTGTAACACTGCCAACGTGTCTAGCATTTTCTTCTGTGAAACGCTTGAAAAGCTATACATGTTTAGCTTTTACAAATATTTCTAAATGCGCATAGGTGCTTAACGTATGTTTTATGTATTTAAATGCCAGACACTGTTTTTTACAGTGTACATGCACATTTAAAAACGTATCCTGTACGGCTTACCATTTCCATTTGTATTTTAATTGTCTTTATTTCATCTTCTTTGTATTCTTATTCTTTATCGAAAACTTGTTTGCTGTTTCTGTCACGGAATCAAGCAGAGACGTTGTTTCACAGACTGAGAGTCTAGGACCCTCTACTTGACATCCTACTTAGCACCTTGATATTAATTAAGGAGATCACTTGTGTCGATAATGAATTATGACGTCCGAGGCGTTGTTGAATTGCAATACTTTTCCTCTTATCACGCATGTGATAATAAACTTAAGGCTTAACTTTTATTTTGGGAAGTAATAAGAATCCCCAACGAGCACTGGGGTATAGTAATTTAGTCGATCTGATTTGAAATCATTTTGGACAATAAGGCTGGTTTGGCAATAAGGATGGTTTGGTTCCATCCCATAATGAAAGTAACTCACTTTGAGGTTATGGTAGAATACATGTCCCTAGCCTGCGTATAGAAGTTGAGAAGATGCACTTAAAGGGATAATAACTCTTCGTATGAGATCTATATTTCACAATAAAAACCTTGTGAATAACTCATAGAAATATAATATATTCTGTTTTACCACAAAAACAGTAGTTATAGCTATTATTCTGATATCTGAGCTTGTCTTTAGACCACGTGACCTCCATTGATGGCTATACTCTGTTAAAATCTCTTAAGAGATTTTAACAAAAAAACAAACTTTTTAGAAAAAAAACCAGGGGCCAACTTTGAATGTAAAAATGGATTCATTAACCATTGGAAAGTATGGAAAAATTGTTGTTTACTCCAGTAAAATTCATTTTTTGGCCGAAACGAAGAGTTATTATTGCTTTAAGTATTGAAATAGGATGGTGGTTACAAACACTGTCTGAATAAAAAAAAGCGTAACAACAACAAAATAATTATGAAAATAATGATGATAATAATAATGCCGATACTTTACGAAGCATTCGGTTGAAATGTTACGGATTAAAATCTCATATAAGGGTGCATTCCCAGAGATTTAGATCGATCCAGAGATGGGGGTTCACGCTAAATTGCAGTCAGCCAAGCGCGCACCATAGTTAATTACCCCCTTACAACTTTTAGTAGGAGGGACAGACGCTTAAGCTGGCTAAGCTGTCAGTAATCTAGTGAGACTCCCCAGGAATAGATCGATCTAAAATCTCTGGGAATGGGGTCTAAGATTCTGAAATAACTTTCAGTTTAAAACCCCGGCTAGTGGACGGAACAAAAGTCAAATGAACTGTTTTTGACTAAAATTATTAAGTTTATAAAAACTGTCACTGTCACGGTGCACTGTTTGTAGTTATTATAAACTTAAAATTAAAAATACTTAAAATTAATTAAAATTAAAATTATTAACTTTATAATAACTACAAACAGTGCACCGTCCTGAATTGAATTTACACGGCAGTGTTCAGTGAAGAAGGTTGGGATCCCGATACGAAGGGCTGTGCACTATTTGTTTTATTATAGCTGTTAAGCAATATGTGTATGTACGCAGAAAGACAACTTTGAGTTTCGGAATAACACGACCTTCCAAATACAGGGGGGATTACAGGATTATTTGAAAGAAGGAGCCGTTTTTTTAGGAATCACATGCCTCGGACGTGAAGCCGACCCTCGCTTCCCTGGAGGGCGCACGGTGCCATTCGTTTGGGTTTAGAACTTTGATTCAGCTAGTCAAAATTCTACTTTTATTTCGAGAACCGAAGAGGAGTGGTCAGAACAGCATGACACCCCCAAAACCTGCCAATGATATCTAGATCTACATATGTACACCCTGAAGTCATTTCAGAACAGAGGTAATGTAAAATTGTAGGCCTCTGATTGGCCAGTTACATGTACTATTCTGAATATTACTATTGTGTTACTATTTGTCATGTGATCGTGCGCTATTACCAGAAACTGTTAGTTGACCTGAGGTCAAAGTGAACTCCAGTCCTCTGATTGGACTTTTACCACAGAATGTTATGAAAAATTCCCTTGTGTGTAATTTTAAAACGACGCGTCTTTGGAACAACATGGAAACGTCAACGTTTAGCGGCCGTACTTCCGTGGCTTCTCTTCATGTTCCAATGCTCTCTCACTGGGCGATAAGTGTGTCATATCTTACAGTAAACTTATATTTTCCTTGGCATAGTTGACATAGTTCACGCACCTACGCCATTTGACGTATCTGAAATAGTTAGAACACGCTACACAGTTTTCATAACATAATGATTTAATTTCAGATTACTAAGTATCTAATCCAGAATAATCCTGGGCCAGTACAAGAGAAGTAAACAAGCACATTTTCCATTTGTATTACCAATTTTATATTTTCATAAGCGTTATAGTGGTATCCATTATCGTTTCATGCGGTATATTCAGTGCATAAATTGATGATGTTCTGAAATTACGAGAGCTTAGAAGGCGTATTCTGTAATGTTGACTTCGGATATATATTCACCACTACTAGCGACACTCGGCATCTTAAATACACACAGGGGAACTCAGAGAATGATATTTAGACCGAGGATGGAAGAAACTCGTTTCCTCTGTTTTAGTTAAGACCAAAAGCTTCTTCACGACCGTTATTGGTTTGTTTGTCGTGTGACACGTATATCACGTATAGGAGGTGGCTTGACACGTACTGGCAGTGCGTAAAGTAAGACAGACTTACTCTGAGAAGTCTCATTATCCGAGTTAATTTCAGTTTGTAAAAACGAGGTAAGTTTTTATCTACACTAAAGGAAAATGATTTAATCAGTGCCGGTCTCCCTTTATTTATGGTAAAGATCTAACTGCACATCGGTATCTGCACATTGAGGGCAGAAATATTATTTTCTTCCGGTATATGTCAGACAGAAGGTATGGATACGTGCCTCTGATATCGTGAATATTGTCTGAGACGAGAAGCAACAAAGTGGACGAGCATACCATCACACAGACAATTCGTAATAAATAATTTTCACGGCTGAACTTTTGTTTTTAGCATGGAAGTGTTTCTGTTCTTCTCCACTCTTGTTTTTGGATTCATGGCAAGTGACGTCTTTAGTCGCTATTCAATTTATACTTTCGGTAAGTAAAGAGCAATTTATTATTTAGATCATACCTGTAGTTCGTTTCCTTGTTTTCACATTGGGGTTCAGGAATGGGAGCAAAAAGACCAGGTATTTTTCCATTATCACATTGGTCAGCCTCGAGCTTATTACCACCTCTCCCCCCCCCACACAAAAAAAATAATATAAATGAATAAATAGTCAACTGAAATATTTATGGATAATGGAATTATAAATTCCCCTAGCCTACGGTAAATATGATGGGGTTTGATTAGTTTGATATGATTTCGATAAGGTGCACAGACTCAGTGAATGCATTCAAGCTGTGACGATGTAAAAAATATGTATCTAGGGTTAAATATAAATTTAGCATATTCAAAGTGCATATAATGTCTCCTATGTACACTTAAATCACATGGATCAAATGTAATTGATATTTGGTCTGTTGTTTAAGCCGCGTGTAGAACTGACTCTTGTCGTAATGGTGTGGGAGATGCTTTGATGGAGCTAGTGCATTTATTGGTGCGGCATGCCTACGTGTGTATTCTCGTAACCGTATAACAGGTGAATCCATTGCAAGCAACGCGAGCAACCACATGCACTGCACAGTTTCCAATCCCCTCCGGCTCGTTTTGTGTCTACTTTTATAGAAGTCAACACGCTATCAAATCATGTTCCTCAGCGGCAAGGTGTTTATGGAGAATACATAAGGGTTATTATTGACAGGATATTTTCGCCAAACAGTTGATAAAAGTGATTAAGAAACGGAAATGACAAATAGATTGCAGATTTTATATTAACGTATATTCAGATGTGTTGATTTATTGTAGTTGCCATCAGTTTGGAGAGATAAATATATTTGACTTGAAACTGTATGTGTCTCAATGTGTGTTATAGCTGCCGATACGAGTTATTTAATGTATAAAAGATGTAAAAACAAGACAGATTATAACCGAATTCAGTTCCACCATAGCTTTTAATATTTAAGTGTTAATTTTCTACACTTCTTACAATTGAAGCTCTGTGATATTTGGTTATTGAAAACTCTATTAAGACTTTCTATTGTCAGTTGTGTTTTTTAAATCAAAATTAAAATTGCCTTTTTCTCTCTCTCCCTTTTTGGTAATCTTATTCTCCATCGAAAGCGTGTTCTGTTTTTTCAGTCACGGAATCAGGTATGGAAGTTGTATCACTACCTGAAAGTCTGGCATCCTCTTGGTGTTAAGTACTGAGATGACTTCTGTCAATAATGAATAATGACGTTGTCGTTGTTGAATTGAAATACTCTTCCTCTTATCAACACGCGATAATTAACGGCAATTTTCCCCTACTTACCAATGGTCAACGACCCTATTCCTGCATTCAAAGTTAGTCCAGGTTTTTTTTCCTAAACGTTTGGTTTTTTGTTAAAATCTCTTAAGAGATTTTAACTGACGGAGCCCTCTCTGACATTGCATAGTCACGCGATATCGAGCGATATTTTCTGGTGACCTACTTAAAACCGCGGGAAAAGCAGATAACAACAACACTTAATATAACATTAACATAAGATTCAAAATATATGTTCGTCTTATTGCTCAAAATGCATTTATATCTACAATGTGTGCAATTCTGGGCTTTTCGTTATCCGACGCACTGTCTGCGGATTGCATCAACGCGTTTGGCGCCAAATGTTATTTTGGTCCCGTATGAACGCGAGAATCTGCGTGACACCCTAACGTCATAGGCAACGGATGCCTTAACGAACGTGAAGAAAGGCATCGAAAGCCCTATTGACAAGCACAGATTTTAGTTTTACTACAAAAAACAGCCGTTTTAGTGGTAAAATGCAATAGGATATATTTCCATGCGTTGTTTACAATGTATTTCTTGCGGAATTTTGAATCTCAAAGGAAGAGTTATTATTGCTTTTATTAACTTTTATTTTTGGAAGTAATAAGAATCCCCAACGAGTGGGGTATAGTAATTTAGTCGATTTTATTTGAAATTGTTTTTGGATAATAAAGCTTGAGATTTTGCTCAATTTTTTAGTGAAAACAACTCACTTAGAGGTTTTGGTTGGATACCTAGTCTTCATGTAGAAGTTGAGGAAATGCATTTCAGTATTGGAATAGGATGATGGTTACGAACACTGTCTGAATAAAAAATATGTAATAACAATAATAATAATAATAATAATAATAATAATAATAATAATAATAATGACGATGGTGTGTGCGGCATTCGATTAAAATGTTTCAAATTTAAACCTGACACACGATTCTGAAAAAGTTACTAATCTTATACCCATCTAGTGAGTTGAGCAAAAAGGTGCTGTATTTGACACGTCCAGGTACTTAACATATGAATGTGTTCCGAGCACTATTTGTTTTATTATAACGATTGTCAAACAAGGTACTTGTATGAAGAAAGACGACTTCAAGTTTTTGAATAACGAGCGGCAAAGTGTTGATGGAGAATACCTGAGGGTTATAAACGGCAGGTTGTTTTCGCCAAATAATGGATAAAAATGATTAAGAACCGGAAATGAAAGATGGGTTGCAGATTCCATAAGCACTAAATACTCAGATGCGTTAATGTATTGTATTTGCCATCAGTTTGGGGAAATAGATATCTGCAATCGGAAACTGCGTTTGTTTCACAGTGCATGCCGATGCACGCGACTTAATATGAAATATAAAAATAAGACAGATTATAGCCAAATTAAGTTCCATATGTCAAAGGCTTTAGGAATTTTAACATTACGTATTAATTTTCTAAAGCTATTCGCAAACAAAACTCATTTGGTGATTGAAACTCGATTAAGTCCCCAATCTGCTACCTACATGTAGCCTACATTAAAAAATGTACCCTGGACGGCTTTCCGTATCCATTTGTATTTTGTCTTTCTTTCATCTTCTTTGTAATTTTATTCTTTATCGAAAACTTGCTTGCTGTTTCTGTCAAGGAATCAAGCAGAGACGTTGTTTCACAGACTAGGAGTCTAGCGCCCTCTACTTGACCCTCCAATTAGCACCTTGATGTTAATTAAGGAGATTACATGTGTCGATAATGAATTATGACGTCCGAGGCGTTGTTGAATTGCAATACTTTTCCTCTTATCACTAATGTGATAATAAACTTACGATCAACTCTTTTATTTTGGGAAGTAATAAGAATCCCCAACGAGCACTGGGGTATAGTAATTTAGTCGATCTGATTTGAAATCATTTTGGACAATAAGGCTGGTTTGGCAATAAGGATGGTTTGGTTCCATCCCATAATGAAAGTAACTCACTTTGAGGTTATGGTAGAATACATGTCCCTAGCCTGCGTATAGAAGTTGAGAAGATGCACTTAAGTATTGAAATAGGATGGTGGTTAAAAACACTGAATAAAAAAAAAGCGTAACAACAACAAAACAATTATGAAAATAATGATGAAAATAATAATGCCGATACTTTATGAAGCATTCGGTTGAAATTTTACGGATTAAAATCTCATATAAGGGTGCATTCCCAGAGATTTAGATCGATCCAGAGATAAAAATTTAGATCGACCTAACTCCCTGGGTCGATCTAAATTTGTAAATTTGTCTTTCTTTCATCTTCTTTGTAATTTTATTCTTTATCGAAAACTTGCTTGCTGTTTCTGTCAAGGAATCAAGCAGAGACGTTGTTTCACAGACTGAGAGTCTAGGACCCTCTACTTGACATCCTACTTAGCACCTTGATATAAATTAAGGAGATCACTTGTGTCGATAATGAATTATGACGTCCGAGGCGTTGTTGAATTGCAATACTTTTCCTCTTATCACTAATGTGATAATAAACTTAACTTTTATTTTGGCAATATGTATATGTACGCAGAAAGACAACTTTAAGTTCCGGAAGAATAAGACCTTCCAAAAACAGGGGCGTATACAGGATTATTTGAAAGGAGGGGCCGGTTTTTTAGGAATCACATGCCTTGGACGTGAAGCCGACCCTCGCTTCCCTGGGCGTGGTGTTCGGGTCCCCGAAAAAACTGGTGTTTTGGAGGGCGTACGGTGCCATTCAGTTGGGTTTAGAACTTTGATTCAGCTAGTCAAAATTCTACTTTTATTTCCGAAGGGGAGGGGTCAGGACCCTAATGACACGCCCAAACCCCGCCACTGATATCAAGATCTACATATGTATTACCCTGAAGTCATTTCAGAACAGAGGTAATGTAGAATTGTAGGGCTCTGATTGGTCAGTTACATGTACTATTCTGAATATTACTATTGTGTTACTGTTTGTCATGTGATCGTGCACTTTTACCGGGAACAGATACATGTAATTGACCTGAGGTCAAAGTGAACTCCAGTCCTCTGATTGGTCTTTTACCACAGAATGTTATGAAAAATTCCCTTGTGTGTAATTTTGGGACGACGCGTCTTTGAAACAACATGGAGACGTCACACGGGTTTAGCGGCCGTGCTTCCGTGGCTTCTCTCCAGGGTCCAATGTTCTCTCATTGGGCAATATACTTCGTATTCCCTGAGAACTGTGCACTTTTTGCTTTGATACTGCCCGAATACTGCAGATTGAATACACTTGTACACTTGGTCAAATTTAACATCTGCCAAATAAACGTACTGTTTTAAAGTATTGAACTTCCTTAAGTGTGCTCATATCTTACAGTAAATTTATATTTTCCTTGGTCACTTTGACATAGTACACGCACCTACGCCATTTGACGTATCTGAAATACCTGTAACAGAACATTACTAAGTATCTAATCCAGAATAACAGACATATTGGTTTTACTGTCTGGGCCAGTACAAGAGAAGTAAACAAGCACATTTTCCATTTGTATAACCAGTTTCATATTATCATAAGCGTTATAGTGGTATCTATTATCGTTTCATGCGGTATATTCAGTGCATAAATTGATGATGTTCTGAAATTACGAGAGCTTAGAAGGCGTATTCTGTAATGTTGACTTCGGATATATATTCACCACTACTAGCGACACTCGGCACCTTACATACACACAGGGGAACTCAGTGAATGATATTTAGACCGAGGATGGAAGAAACTCGTTTCCTCTGTTTTAGTTAAGACCAAAAGCTTCTTCACGACCGTTATTGGTTTGTTTGTCGTGTGACACGTATATCACGTATAGGACGTGGCTTGACACGTACTGGCAGTGCGTAAAGTAAGAAAGACTTACTCTGAGAAGTCTCATTATCCGAGTTGATTTCAGTTTGTAAAAACGAGGTAAGTTTTTATCTACTCTAAAGGAAAATGATTTAATCAGTGTGGGTCTCCCTTTATTTATGGTAAAGATCTAACTGCACATCGGCATCTGCACATTGAGGGCAGAAATATTATTTTCTTCGGGTATATATATCAGACAGAGAGTATGGATACGTGCCTCTGATATCGTGAATATTGTCTGAGACGAGATGCAACAAAGTGGACGAGCATACCATCACACAGACAATTCGTAATAAATAATTTCCACCCTTTTTTTTGGATTCATGGCAAGTGACGTCTTTTGTCCTTATTCAACTTATGCTTTCGGTAAGTAAAAAGCAATTGACTATTTAGATCATAGTTGTTATTTGTTTCCTGTTTTCACATTGGGGTGCGGGAATGGGAGCAAAAAAGGCCAGGTATTTCTCCATTATCACCTCGGTCAGCGTCGAGATTATTACCACCCCCCACCCCCACACACACACAAAAGAAGTAATAATATAAAATGAATAAATAGTCAATTGAAATATAAATGGATAATGGAATTATAAATTACCCCAGCCTACAGTGAATATGACGTACGTGCATGGGATTTAATTAGTTGCGATATGATTTCAAAGAGGTGCACAGACTCGGTGCATGCATACAGGCTGCGACAATGTAAAAACATGTATCTAGGGTTAAATATGAATTTAGCATATTCAAAGTGCATATAATGTCTACTATGTACACTTAAACCACATGGATCAAATGTAATTGATATTTGGTCTGTTGTTTCAGCCGCGTGCATAACTGACCCTTGTCTTAATGGTGTGGAAGATGCTTTGATGAAGCTAGTGCATTTATTGATTCAGTATGCCTATGTTCTCTTTAGTGTAGAACAGGTAAGGTACAACACTGTATGTTTAAACTGCATATCTGACAGTCGCTTTGTTTTAAGGTTGTGCAGATAAAAACTTAAAAAAGTACAACGTGTACTAGAGTTTAAGTGATGAAGAAGCAACATATCATAAAAATATGATGACAAGCGCATACTATGATATGCTAATCTGCAATAGCAGCTATGTTTCATTTAATAACATTCATCCATTAGCAGTGTGCCCGCGTCTTTATGTAAATGTTGCTTATATTGTATGTTACTGAAAAAATGCTGTAAGTCTAATGCTAATGCTACAGATAGGTATAATATTACTTACAGTGATATGATTAAAATATACTAAGGGATGAAGGGAAATGTTAATTCACTAATTTTAGAACGCATTCGCTATGCAAATACTGATGTGTGGCCTACGACTTTAACACCATACCTCACTACCTCGCTATTTGAAATCCCCATTATTTTAAACACTTATATTATTTTATAATTATCTAAAATACGTTAAAAACCCTGTACTTTTCTCATACCGGTGTTACCATCCTAGTTCAATCATGAATGTTGCATTCAAAACAGATGATCCTCGGACTAACTGGTAAATAAATGCCCCTATTTCACACAGACCACGAATCTCACGAATGGCCAGGAATTGACAAATTTCAGGATTCGTGATTGAATCGTAATCAGTTCGTGAAGTTCTTTAGAGATTCGTATATATTCGTAGTCAGTTCTTGCACTTCTTGACCAACAGGAATTAGTGGCAAAAAATTTGATGCCCTATTTCACAAAAACCACGAATCCCACGAATCGCCAGGAATTGACAAATTTCCGGATTCGTGAGGATTCGTGAGATTTTGCCAATTTTCTGGTCTAATTCAACAAGCTCTACGATTCAGTTACGATACAAGTGCGATAGTGTTACGAATATCCGTGGGATTCGGCTGGAATCGGAAGATTTTGCAAATTTTCTGGTCTAATTCGACACGCTCTACGATTCAGTTACGATACAGGTGCGATAGCGTTACAAATATTCGTGGGATTCGGCTGGAATCGGACGAATATTGTCCAATAATTCACTACGACTTTTTGGAATCGGGAGTTCGTGGCCAAAATTTTGAACAGCTCAAACTTTTTGCCACGAATTACTGATTCATCAAGAATTGCAAGAACTGACTACGATTATATACTTATCTATTACGAACTTCACGAACTGATTACGATTCAACCACGAATCCTGAGATTTTCAATTCCTGGCCATTCGTGCGATTCGTGGACTGTGTGAAATAGGGGCATCAAAGGTTTTGCCACTAATTCCTGTTGGTCAAGAAGTGCAAGAACTGACTACGAATATATACGAATCTCTTAAGAACTTCATAAACTGATTACGATTCAACCACGAATCCTGAGATTTTCAATTCCTGGCCATTCGTGCGATTCGTGGTCTGTGTGAAATAGGGGCATCAAAGGTTTTGCCACTAATTCCTGTTGGTCAAGAAGTGCAAGAACTGACTACGAATATATACCAATTGCTGGCCATTCTTGCGATTCGTGGGCTGTGTGAAATGGCGGCATTACGGGGCCCTGGCCAGTTTCATGGTAGCACAAGTGATGCGGGTGGGACGCCGTCCGGGGGTAAAGGGGGTTTAAGAAACGGTGGTGCGTACACGGGTAGGACCTCGATTCCAGGCGGACCTAAATTTCTTTAACATCAGCGAATGTTTGCGCCTGTTGTGGTGGCTATAGATCCACTATATTTTGATCAATAATTGAATTTACTACAGTGGTTCTCCTAATTTGACAATGACAGAATAAATCATTTACTGCTACTCTTGGTGTCTGATTTGTGTTGTAAACACGAAAAAATTAAAATCTGAGGTAATGCGCCAACTTCTGTCTTCTCTCTCTCTTTAACTTGTTTGCAGGAAAGTGTGGAGAGATCGCCGTGTGCATTCATAAGCTGACGCAGGATTGTTTCCTTTCAATTATGCATGCAACGAAGATTGTGTTTGCAAAGATGGTTACGTAGGGGACGGAATCCATTGCACCAGTAAGTCTTATTAACGTCTTATTTATGAGTTCCGAACTCTGTAATAGTATAAATATTCAGTTACATGTATTTTTCATCCCTCAAATGCCTTTAACTTGAATATTATTTATTAAACTAATCAACTGGGCCATTTTATTATTTTTGAATGAGATATCAGAACACGTGCTGCATATCTGATATACTGTTGAGCTGAGTGCACCAAATGATCGCGATGTGATAGTGATGATTCTCAGCGGGGTTGGAAAGAAGTGCATCTATCATCAAAATTTGTTCCGGGGTATGATACTGTGAAATGCGTACTGACGCACACCTTGAAAAGGGGTAGTGTGGTCCGATCTGGGATCATTCGGTGCCGAGTCTGATAGTTGGGTAGGCCTGTCTCTCTTCAAATTTTATTCTAAAGAACGTATTGCTGTAACAAGCTTGTGAGCTCAAATGTTGGAGTAAACGAAGGCGAGAAAAATTAGTAGAATTCACAATTGTTTTTAAAATGTGTCATTTGAAACTACACAAAACTCTGCCTTTTAAAATGCCATCCTTTAAATTTAATTTAATTACAGTTATAATTCCCATACGGCATAACTTCAGGTGTTATGGCCGTGTTTAACCCAGTGTGGGGAGGGGGCGAGGGGGGGGATTCCTCTCAAGCATTTGGAACGTGAATGTGGAAATACTATTAATTGAATAGATACATCAACACACATGTTTTGCAATTCCGTTTAATTAAAGAATGACGTTTTTTTCATTTCAACGTCAATATTAAATCAGACACATATGAATGCATTCCTCCTCCTCTCTCTCTCTCTCTCTCAGCCCATTCTTCGCGTCCCAATAGCAAATAACCCTGTGGTTTATTACCATATCTGAAAACAAAAAAAGTATAATGTACAATAAGAACTTGGAGAATAAAGATACATACATTCAAGATGTATATATAAATATAAATGGAAGAAGCCAATTATCGTGATATCATTCTCTCTATTTAGGGGTAGGTAATTTTATCCAGAGATATGTATTCCAGAATACTGGGTGGCTAAAAAAGAAACAAAAAAAAAAAAAAAACCAAACTTCTTTCTAAGTTTATTAACTCTTACAGCTCAAAAGATTTTGAATTCAAATTTTGCGTAGGTTTTTGATGCTTTACTATTGGTAAACCCTGGACATTTCAGGTGTTANGGTAATTTTATCCAGAGCTATGTATTCCAGAATACTGGGTGGCTAAAAAAGAAACAAAAAAAAAAAACTTCTTTCTAAGTTTATTAACTCTTACAGCTCAAAAGATTTTGAATTCAAATTTTGCGTAGGTTTTTGATGCTTTACTATTGGTAAACCCTGGACATTTCAAGTGTTAAAAATGAATCAGTTCTGATATTTTCATCAAAGCAAAAAATTGATTGACAGCTGGGTGTCACAAATGCCAAAATTAAGACAGATACACTCATGAAATTCCAAGCATTTATCAAAAACATAATTTTTCTAAAATATCTTTAAAACTGTCAAAGATATTGAACTTTGAAATAAGTAACGTGTTTTAGTCACCCAGTTCAACCCAACATACAGCAATTCAATGAAATAAAGCACACTGCTTGTTTTATTCCTTACCCGCTGCATCAACATCTTAAGTTCTGTGAACATCTTCCACGGATCTTCCATTAGTGCAATAGCATTGAGTAACCCATCCGATAAAACCCTGATCAAACATCTTGCTGAAATTTTAAGATATGTAACAATGTCGTATTTGTATATTATTAATGAAAAAAACAGAGAAGGTTAGGATGCGATACTGCACGATACTATTGCTGTACAAAGAGGGACACCCGAATGCCAATTAACCTCGATTTAGGATTTATCCCTATAACACGTTTACTAGGTGCCCACAAACCCTCCGGGGACGCTTCATCTACAATACTTTCTTTTAAACGGTTTAAGAGAAGTCTGCCTGCATGAGAAGTAAAAAAGTGGATGTCTGTCGATTTTAAACCTTGACATTGTTAACGAACATCAAATATATTTCGGCATGACAGTGGTAGGAATTCTACAAAATGTATATAATTTGATTTTTTGGATACTGTCAAAAACTTTTTGATTTTATATTTAAACAATATTGAACATCTAGGGCAAGAGTAACGAAAAAATGCTCATCTAAATCAGTATTGGAAACAAACGGTCAAATACGTGTAATGTTGGATTCGATAGCCGCAGTCTTTTCGACAGCCACCCTTGCAATTACAGCCGAATGAATTACATTCCCCGTCTGAACAATATGGAGCTTTCTGAAATGTAAGGTATATATATTCAATCACCCTCAATTTTCCGATATATATATATATATATATATATATATATATATATATATATATATATATATATATATATATATATATATATATATATATATTTTTTTTTGTCGTAACATGGCATTTATTTTAATATAACCACAAATACTTGCACATGCATGCATTACTATAATATGTAATGAGTGGATCAATTTAGGAACTTATCTAACTTTGTTCATTGAGTATTGTACTGTTCACGCCAGATTACTTACAGCTTCTAGAAAATACGGTTAAGTGACTTTGAAGGCATGGGATATTTCCAAATCTGATTTAATAGTAATTGGAGACAAACGTTATCAGTTTTTTAGTACACCATGAAAACAACAAGATAAACAAAGAAATATGTTAGATGAAATAGGCAAAATAAAAGGTAGATGGCAGATTAGCGCAGAAAAGATCCTGGCAATTGAAATAAAATAATCTTTTGCGCATCTCAATTAAAGGCCACAACAGTAATGAACAAGCCTGTATCACCGCCAAGTCATTATATAGGAGATAATGAAACACTCCATTACGTTGTTGCGTACGCGTATTACGCGTATGTCCTGTATTTTGGTGTTGAATGAGAGGTATTAAGGCAAACCTAATGTTATTCTAGGGAAAATACGATGATTTGCTTTTGTCAGAAAATGTATCCATCTGATACACCTTTTTCCTCAAACATTATTTTGTAAAAGGTGTGTTAAGCCGGCGACCTCTTTAGGTGCTGGTACCTTGTAAACCCAGAACAGATTTTACGGCATTCTCCGTCTACTTCTTTTATCATGATATACGTGTTCTTTTTGAGATATATCACTTTTTAAGGGACCATTCAGATGGTCTCTCCGCCTCTCAGACGCCTCCCCAGAGACCATTACAGGATTAAGCGGTCTTCCTGTAATGTAGGTCCGCCATATTTAGATCGCGGCCTTACTAGAACTCGGCTCTTGTCAATCTGAATGGTCCCTAAGAAGTCACGGAGGCTTTGAAGCCGAGCTGGTATCAAACCAGATAAAAAGATTGATCCACCGTAGAAGAGACACAGGGGTGCAATTCTGTATTTCTTATCTCGCCATGTCAGTATGGAGAAAGCAAATCATATTAAAATCATTCTCTTCTTGTGTAAATCTATCCACTTTGCATTTTGCTTTATTATAAACTAAATCAAAACGGCATATCTTACTTTTGTACAATCCTTGCAGTACCCTCCTCCGTTTAAAATGGGATGGCAGCAAACCGCTTGGGTTTCCCTCAGAACACTGCCCGTCAAAATGACTGCAATCAGTAGAATACCAAGATAACCGGCCATCTTCTGAATTCCTGAAGAAAAATGTATTAAATATTTTTATTGAAATACATTAATAAAGAAAACTTGGTACTGTACTTGGCACTGTACCATTAATATATGACAACCTTCTGAGTTTCGGTTTCAGTTTTTGGTATAATATAAATGGCAATAGATTCTCCGTTTTACGACAGAAGCACACATATTCGTTGTAGCACATCTGGTTTAACAAATCACAACACTTCTATAAAGAGTGTTTAAATCTAATTTCATTATCATTTCAAGCTATACTTACTTGACATATAATTCATTACATATTACATCTTAAACACTGCAAATATATTTATATATATACCCAATAACGAAAAATGTAAATGGAAAAGGTTAACCTAAGACTTAGAACATCTATGACTAAATAAGTCCTTGATATTCTGGTTGCAAATTGATTGCCTGAACGCAAACTGGTCGGAGCAAAGAACTCAGGGCAGATTGATTAAGCATAAATCTAGCCACAGTTATTTGCAAATATGTTGTTCAGCAGTTTATGATATGTAATGGTTTCCGGAGATACTGCCCACACTTTTCAGGGAAATTGATGTGTTTGGGTTATTTGCATTTGAATATCTAGACTCTGTATTCTGATTCGAATATGGCGGAGAAAGGACAGCCACTAGCTAGAGATATCACAATATCTAACGCATAGCCTCTATTACTGACCAGTAGAAAAAAAAACGCACTAACACATTTTAAATTACAAATTCAAGAATGAAAACTTACCCGGCTCCAGTAAGGCAAACAAATTAAATGGAACTTCTTGTTCTGTAAGCGTTTCTCGAGTCGAATGATCACTGATGGATGTTTCAGATCTATATGACACTTTTGGCAGGATGAATCATTTATATACTGCTTTGTAATTTGCAAGCCTTCAAAACATACAGGTAGTTACCAAGCACTTCAAAAGCTCACATCAAAGAAAATGTTTGAAATCATCCGGGTCTTTTTGTGCCATAGCTGCTACTGTATCGTGAGCGGTTCACTCGCTTATTTAGCTATCTCGAACCAGCTGCTAATCTCTTGATGGAATCAGAACAGCTAATCATATCTGATGCATTTGTAGTTTGCGATTAACAACCACTTCCTATGCGAGATTTATCAATACGGCAGTATAACCGGAAAATACCCGTGTGTGTGTGTGTGTGTGTGTGTCTGTGTGTGTGTGTGTCACCAGGAAAGACGTATGTGTAGCGTCACTCTCGATCGACTCAATTATTCCATGAAGAACAGATGTTTTACAGAGAAAAATCATTTTATAGAAACATTTTTGACTTGCTATATACATTGTACTGTATATGTAGCTGATATCCTAGTATTACAAATCTATGTCGTATAACAATCCATAACACACACATCTTTAAAAGTAAATTGATTTAAATGTTATTCTCCATACGATGAGCAAAGTATAATAGAATATTTAGACCTTCTTGCACAATTTTTATTTCACCCTAAACAGCTGTATTGTGAAAATAAGAAGAGCATATTAGAAACTCCACTCATTCTAGTATATATGTACATCAGTATATACATGTGTAATCAATACTTTGGCTGGGAGAAAATGTGCTGGTAGGTTGCTAATAAGCACTCTAAAGTTAGACATCAAAGGAAGTTATTCTTCTGAAAATAATACAGAAAACACTGGTACTGTAGTTACAAAGCACTTTAAAGTTTGACATAAAAGAACGCTGTTCTTCTGAAATTTTATTTGATGGTACAGACTCTGTGAAAGTTAGCCAATGACAGTGTCATACTTCAAACGACATAAGAGTCAAATAAAATGGCATGACTTTCTTTCATCATCATGATCATCATCATCGTCATCATTCAGAGCCTAAAGTGCTCCACTGCTGAACATAGGACTCAGCATCCTTCTACCATTACATTCTGTCTTGAGTTTTGGACTTCCATTTTTTCAGTACTCGTCTAACTCATCTTTCCATCTCCTGAGTGACTTTCCTTGTTTCCTATCTCCATGTGTTGGTGTCCATTCTGCCCATATGTCATCCTTAGTTCTACGGACATGCCCTGTCCATTTCCATTCCATTTCTTTGATTGTTATCAGCACTTTCTTCAACTTGGTCTGTTCTCTTATCAACTGACATTTCTATATCTTGGTTTGGTGTTCAACATATATCTTTACGTCTTTCTCTCTGCTACTTGTAGCTTTTGTTCCATGGACACGCCTCTGTCCCATGTAAGTAGCTGACAATACGGATGCATTGAACACTTTCCTTCTCAGACAATTAGGGGGGTTATTTCTTTATGTTACACTAAAATATATCCCTGAGAAGCAAAATGGCAAAACTGTGGGAATAGAAATTACTTCATACGAAATGCCTTCGACTGCGAATAGCTGTTTATATTCACTGTCATGGCATCATTAATCATATTGTCATATAGAACTCATAACCTTCATCTCGACAACATGGCCTGCGATCGACTTTTATATATATTGCATACTTGGTGCTAACATAATTGTACCATAATTGCGGTAGGGATGACACTTTTACCGTAGGAATATATTTATACATGAGAACGGATGCGATAGTTGTGACTCTGTTCCATGTTTATAATGATATTATCAAACCCACTCTGTTTATCTTCACCTAATCAGATAATTCAGTTTTGACCAAGTCTAACAGAGTGCACAAACGAAACAGCTAAATCAAATGTGTGTATATCTACTGGGTATCATGACTGAAGATTTTTGATATCATTAAAAACAATTCAAATTTATTATTATTATTATTATCATATAAATGTTTGATCCACACGGTATGCCGTTAGTACATTGCCAGTACTTGCCACGCATTTCGCGTTAAACAAGGCACAATCAAGACAAGCCACCAAATCACAGTCGTGTACACAACACTACTGTATTTCTGTTTATTTCTACCATCCATCAGTTTTTTTAAATAAGTGAATTAATTTTTAAGTGAAACGTGTATGGTTTATTCGGCTTCAAGAACATATCTACAGCTGTATAGTATAATCTTCGTAGAGTTGACTGTGTTGCAGGTACATTGACTACAACTACATGGGAAAGTTCTCCCTCTCCACTTAATTAAAGGCCATTTTCTGCGTCATTGCGCACGCGCATATGGTTGCGTGTGGAACAGCTGAGTGGTGTTCATCAGAGCGTGGTGGGTTAAATAACATCCAAAACTAACCGTTCAAAACATCTCTCCTGAACCTGCTTTTGAAGCATTATCGACCAATGTACTTATTTCATCTCTACATTGATACTTCCCACTGGCTTGACGTGATAATGGATGACAGGATGACGCTTTGTAATATAAGAAATTGCTTGTGTTTGTTAACAAACTCTGTTTAACTGCGCCATACATTGAATTCAAGCTGCCGTACATTAAAGGTCCTGTATTCTGTATTCGATTGTTTTAACGATACTTGCACTTAGCGGTAGAATCATAAGTTGTACGTTATGCTTGTTGAATCAATGAAATATGGAAATCAGATAGCAATTTTATCTGAAATATAATAACTAGAAAAAAAGAACTGAACACTTGTCAAGAAGATGAAGAAAAGGTTATGAAAAGTCTCAGGTGATATATTTCTGAGCCTGAATAAAGGGTTTTATATATGTGAATTACCACAACTTTCACGGATATTTTCATGTCTGACATTATTATTATATTCACATACACGTAATTAAAATCTGTATAAAATTTGAACAACTAGAAAGCAAAATTTAAAAAATAGAAATATATTTTTCATGGAACACACTTCATTGAATTGTATACACAGCTCAAAAATTTCAATTAAGTAAATGTTGTTGTCGATTTGATTTTTTCGTCATAAAATGAAAAATAATAAGGACCATACAAATGGCATAAGATGTTGTGATAAGTAAACACTGAAATGTACTACATGCAATGCCAAAATGTTTTATTTTCAATTATAATAATTGAATTGATACACCAATTTCATATATTTTAAAATGCATGTCCAATTGTTCTTCCATCTGTGCTCTTCTGTGTTAATTTTTTTTTGGGGAGAACTTCATTTCTTCTATCCTGTAAGAAATAAACAAACGGTATGTTTTATGTCCACATTTTTTAAACGAGTTCTTGTTTGTACATTCAGTACATGAAAAGCACACATAATGATAATAATAATAATATAAATGCGCCGATGGGCACCCATCGCATATCTCTTCACTGTAAATAGTAGCTCACATTGTAAAGAGTAGGTCACCCTCATGGAACCCATTCCCTTGATATCTATGGCGACATTCACAACCAAAGATGATCTGCGGACTATCAGATCCGCGGTCTAACAGATCCGTGGATAAAATACTGAAAACCCACGCAGTATAACTTGGGTGGTCTTAACTTGGGTGGTCTATAACCTTTCGCCAATAAAACTGACTATGGTAGTTTTTTTGGGACCAGTGTGACAGGATTGGTAGTCCGCTAGGAACCGTAGACAATCCCCCATTATTATGTAATGGTGACATCCCTCCCATATTCTAACCCAAATACGAGTAACCTTAACGTGTGCTAATGATATGGGACCCCGAGCTACTTGCATTCCTAGTACTACCATTCCTGTCAGACCAGGTCCCGATCTTGCCTGATTCGACCTTCGTGATACTAACTGGCGCATTTAAACCCGTCGCCCACGCCCACAAATAAAAAAAAATCTGACGTAAGATAATATATTTATTTAAAACGGCCACATTAATTGGTGTAAATCTGGACTTTCTTTAAAATGTATGCAAAAACGACTGGTAGTTAGCTTTTGATTAAAGGGATACTCAAATCTTTTCCTTTTTTATTATTTTGTGTCCCGATTTTTTGCTGCAAAACAATGTAGAATTATCAGTCGCTATACACCCAGTCCAAAAGCAGATGTCAGACATGCAGACTTAAAAACTGGAGAGACTTACCGACGGTGCACCGGTATCCAGAAAATCCTGCGGCACAAATGCACTTGTAAAAGACTTTTGGATTTGCCTCTTTACCCTCTATGCACGTGCCACCGTTTTCGCAAGGGTTGGGATGGCACCCGACTAAAAAAAAAGTTGCACAAGTAATTACATGTTTGGCATTCTCTATCAGTTTGCATAGCTCACATTTCTGAAATGTATTTTGGATTGATAATTATTTCTTGATTTGTTATTATTTTTAAAATAACGCAACCCATTATTTTTTCATTACACAGGAATTTGTGTATGTTAACTAAAAATAATTATCTGCATCAGACGCATGTTAATACGCTTACTTGAAGCTCTACAACTTCTCTAAATTATCCCCAGTCCTTACAGAAAAAAATGGATAAATTTATCTCATTGAGTCCTTTACTTACAGTACGAATCATCAGGAGTATCATTGCCAATCGCCATCAACCCCACAACAAGGCTGCAGAAGATCAATAAAATCATCGCTCTTTAGCAGATTTAGTGATCTGTACTTTTTGCTAAAATAGAACAGGATTTCAGCCATGAAAATATTTGATAAAGGTGGCCAAGGTGTTGATATGTTCATCCAGTTTCTTGTGTCTCGTCTCTTACTTATATATGTTCCGATACTTTTATGTTTTATATTAAAAATATAAACTCTCAATTACCTTTTTCTTTTCAAATAAATAATTATTGTATACATTTAATATACTGGGAATTCACATGAACTAATGAAAATTTAGACCACGGTGGAAGTGAAAAACGAAAGACTCGGACGTGGTGTATCTCGTATAACCGCACGTCTCGCATGAATGCGTTAAAACCCGCCAAGGGACCGCGTCTATAAAAGGGGAGGTTTCGCAATCCCGGCCCGAGAACCAGCGCGCCGATAATTTGAAGAAATTGCGTATAACGTCATCACTTTTTGCGCTTGTTTTCTCGTTGACGGATTCCGAGAACCAGGCGCTGGATGTCGGAGCGCTGATCGGGAACGAGAATTGTTCTCGGCGAGCTAGTTGTCGGGCCGGGATAGCGAAACCTCCCCAAAGATAGACCCCTCGTCGGCAAGGGTGCTACTGGTGTTTGCCACATAATCCTCGCTTAATTGGGGTCGATTTATTGCATATATAATTATAAGGAAGAAAAGAAAATTAAGGTACAAACTTTATGCTGAAAATTTAGCTACACAAATGAAATTATCAATGATTGCTGTCAATGTCCTACGGTTGTAACTTACAAAGGGGCGCTGAAGTAAGTGTCTAGTTTCGTTATATCAATGTGGTTTTCAGTGCCAATATTCCTGTAAATTTACAACTACTTTGGACGTCTTTTAACTCGCTGCGAAGGTTGTGCGCATGCACATTTGTCTGCAAAATGTTATGCTCCTGTTTCATGTTGAACATGTTTAACAGCAAGTAAAATCATTACTTGCTTGCCATGGGTGTATTACTATCGGTGAGAAAGGAAAAGTTTTCGGATATTTCATGCACATTTGTCTGCAAAATGTTATGCTCCTGTTTCATGTTGAACATGTTTAACAGCAAGTCAAATCATTACTTGCTTGCCGTGGGTGTATTACTATCGGCGAGAAAGGAAACGTTTTCGGATATTTCAGGTTAGTTGCCTAAAGTTGACGATTTAGGTAAGAATAATACGTTGTTGTTAATATACAATGGCAACTTGGCAGTTTGTATGCAGGGGCGGATTTAGGCCGTCTTCTGGGTCTTCCGGAAGACGGTCAGATTATCAAGTTTACATTGACGGGTATCTAATTTTTTTTCTGTCGGAAGACGGTCAAAAATGGTGGATGGATCAACAAAGATAATTTGGAAGACTGTCAGAAAACATCTCTGAATCCGCCCCTGGTATGGGTGCCGAATTTTGAATTATATCAAAAACTGATATTTTTTAAAGAACGTGAAAGAGATATTAGTGTTGTGAGAAAACCAATTCAATAAGCTTTATGGCGATATAAACCACTTCAGTTGTTATTCAAGATTGATAAATTGAGCCACGGTTAAATTTCAGATTCTGAATCTTCGACCTTTTTTTATGAAGTCGATACATTGTTAAGTCGGTGAAAGTTACTATTCAACCAAAACACCAAGTTTTCTAGATGCGGTTTTGTTCGGAAGAAGATTGTCTTTTATCTGATGTATACTATTTGATATCATCATGCTGTTTACAAAAATATTGTGCCATTTTGTCGTGGAGGTATATCTTAAAATCGTCATTTTATCTGCAATTTTTACTCAGTTTCTTATGCCCCTATTCCATACACTTGGCACAAAAACATTTGGCTTGTACGTAACTAAAAAAAAGTTAAAGCGCTGTAAAGTGATATGCCGTACCCTTTGTATTAAGGAAGTACCGAGAAACGTGTAGAAAAAAAATATTGACCCCCTTTTCGGGACGTCATGGTGACTTCGATCAGTTGATGTTTATTCTGTAGGTTCTGTAAATAATAATGCATTGCTACTATTCAATGATTGTTATAATGACTAATCATCTGCTGTTGAATGCTTTTAAATATTTGAACAGTATTTTAATTAATTTGAAAGACTTGAAGTTTATCCATTTAAATGACGGAGCTTCCAATTCAAATAATGATGTAAGCAGCATTGATGAAAAAAAGCCAAATGACATAACATCCTACTTATCACTGAAGTTCTAATTTAGAGTAAACTGACTCTTAATGAATTAAAATTCATCATCACAAATTTGCTGCAAATTTGCAAGAATTGAGAAATTATAAAATATAATTATAAAAGAGAGGACAAAGACATGTCAACCGAGGAAAATGTGACGTTAAACGTTCGGAGATTTTGCACTGACGGAACGTCGAATGATGCAATGGCCACACTGGTTTGTTCTGGTTAGGCACTGGGAGCGCTGATAGTATAAGTGGTAAAATCTGCGTGCACAGTGTATGCATTGTGCGCTCGTAAGCCGTTTTCGAAAACAGCAGAGCGTATATAAATGAAGGCAAACAAAGGAGAAAAACAAAGTGAATTTTAAATAACATTTTGACGAACTACATACACATTAAATGGCATTGATACAGTGCCATAGAGGATTATACACTCTACATGTACCAGATATATTATTTGCTGACAGGGCATTGTCAGCAAATTCTATATAAAGTGACAATGACCTGCCAAACCTGGTTTCCCTGAGGAGCAGTAAACTGCAGTCTTCTCAGTGATGGCCTAGGGTAAAGCAGATCGCACAAGAAACCTCTTACATTCCAATAAAGAATGAACCACACTTAAATTGGGTCCGTCAACTTTTTTACAGTTCGTTGCTTCATTGGTGGCATGTAAGTTTTTTTTATAAATTGAGATTCCTTCTTTGTTGTTTTGATGGCTAAGTCTGTGTTCAACATGATATTAGTTCACATTTTCTGGAAACTGTGTGGTGAAAACAATTGGTCGCGGCGGTGGTTTAGCACATTTGTGACTTGCCTTTCACTATTGTGTCAAACCAACCAAGGTGTTCTGAAGGAAATCGTGAGGACGCAGATGGTCCCCTAACTGTACTACAGCCCATTATGACCATTGCATTTCCATGTGATGCCCAACCTTACCGTGCCAGGCTAACACAACTATTTATATTTACATGTAGAAGTAGTTGAGCAAGTGAGCTTCCTGACATTGTTTTATCTCTTGATTTGTATCCCATAGGGTAATGTTGGGATACTAATCTGGACTGTATGAAAGAGAGAGGTCCAGAATACTATTGGACAAAATGAGAAAGTCTCTTGCTTAGAAACAGGTCGATCGTAGCCAGAGATACATCGAAGGTTCAACACAAATACTGTTATTTGAAGTTAGAAGATAACATCCTTTTTCGGTACTCGCCCAACTGATTTCTTCATCTCCTGGCTTCCTATCACCACGTGTTGGTGTCCATTCTGTCAGTCTGATTGTCATCCTTAATTTTACTGACAAGTCCAATCCATTTCCATTCCATTTCTTTGACTGGTATCAGCACATCCTTCACCTTGGTCTGTTCTCTCATACACTTAATGACATTTCTATATCTTGGTTTGGTATTCAACATATTTCTTTTCGTCTTTCTCTATGCTAGGTTTTGTTACATGGACTCGTCTCTGCAACATGTAATTAGGTGGTAATACGTTTTAATTGAAAACTTTCCTTTTCAGAAAGTTAGGGCGGTACTTTCTTTATTTCACCCTTAAATATTCATATCCTTAATAAGCAAAATGGCAAAACCGCGGGAAAAGAATATCTATATGTATTATATTTGAAAAACCACATGATGATGCCTTACTTTATATGAAATTAATTTGATTGCGAATACTGTTTATCTTCACTGTCCTGCCATCATTAATCTTATTGTCATATAGAACTCGTAACCTTCATCTCGACAACATGACCTGCAATCGACTTCTGCATGGTGCTGACTTAATTGTACCATAATTGCGGTAGGGATGACACTTTTTACTATGGGAATATATATATATTCCCATAGTATATATATATATATATATATATATATATATATATATATATATATATATATATATATATATATATATATATATGAGAACAGATGCGATAGCTGTGACGTGGTTCCATGTTTGATATTATGAAACCCACCCTGTTTATCTTCACCTGAACAGGTACTTCAGTTTTGACCAAGTCTAACAGAGTGAACTGTTTTATCTCATTATAAGATAATTATTATTATCATTATTATTATTATTATTATTATTGTTGTTGTTGATGTTGTTCTTTTTGCTATATAAAGGTCTGATCCACATGATATGCCTTTAGTGCATTGTCAGTACGTGTCACACTTTTCGCGTTAAATGTGGCACAATTGAGACAAGCCACCAAATAACAGTTGTGCACATTTTTAAAAAAATTATTTATTTATTAACTTTGAGGTGAAGCGTGTATGTTTTATTCAGCTTCAAGAACACATCTTGGGGTGTCCCACCCCAATGAAAATTTCATCTAATCCTATCTGTCCGTATTAAAACTCTTCAATCGTCCAAAGTAGTATGTCGGTTAGTTTGTGCCACGAAGTCCATGATAATATCAGTTTTCTTAAGAATTTCACATTTATTGCTCAACAAGGTCGATTTTTCTTCACCGCGTCCCTATATCACGTTCGTTACGCTGAAACTTCAGAGATCGATTTTTATCAGACGACTTTAAAATGCCGCGTGAAAATTACACATCGATAGCGATCTTCTTCCATACTCACTAACTGATGACGTCTTACACACGAATAGCTTCTTTTGCACACTGAAAAACCAGCTCAAACTGGCGCGTGTCCCATGCTGATAACATATCATGCAGTGACGCTGTCGAGATAGGATGCAGGGCACAGGTGTAATTCCCTCGATTTAACCGCCACAGGATTGTTTATTGGGATCTTCTTTGTATGAAGGTGAGAAATAATGAGTTTCGTTTCATTTTTCTTCAATTGTTTCAACATATTTGTGTACCGATTGATTTTTACCCATCTATAAGTATGGTGACTTCGTCTGAACTTTCGTTTTGCGTCTGTGTCACATGGGGGACTAAAGGTCATATTGAACATGGTGACGCGGTGATACCGTATTCATGTTCTCTTGTTCTCGAAAACTCAATCATCGAAATTGAATGATTTTTTCAGTTTTGTCTTAAATTAAGCTGCTACACTGTATTCCGTGCGTTTAATATTTAACCGTCTGTAAAACAGCAATAATGGATTACTCGCAACACTTACGTTACGCAATGAAGCTCCGAAAATGGGTGAAGAAAATGTGTCTCAGTAATGCGTGTTTGCCACTCATAATGCACTGTACTTTATTTGAATAAGCAATAAACTATTTTTGATCTTAAGTTATCCATTGTTCGTTATCAGAGTTAACAGATTCTTTGTGTGATTTTTTTCGGAATCCCAAGAATGGATGCCTTAGTGAGCACAGAACAGATATCACCATTGGTCCACAGATGTCAGGAAGAATGTTATAAATTATGTACTTTGTGTTACACTGAACTTCATTTTGTTAAATTTTGTATTTAACTGAACTTTATTGTGTTAAAATAATAGTAAAAATAATAATTCTGATAAAAAACTACAATCTGGAACATTATTTAGATCAACTTTGTTCAGTGTGTGTCCCATGTGACAGAGTTACAGTAAACAAAATATGTGCATTATTCCTCTGTGTTTGTCAATTCCATTTTAAAAGCATGTGAAAGTGGTGTGCCCCTCATGATTGAAGTGTGTATGGATAATAGCAAAAATATTGTTATTATTTACATGATTATAAAAAGTTTTTGTACCCGCGTCAATAACGTTACCGTGACCCACATATTCACCATTTTTATTAATTATGAAATGTGGATTAAATTCTTCAAAACCAGAGACAACACCCCCTTATGATTTAAACTAAAACTGAAAACATTCCATTAGACTTTCATCAGTTTGTGCAAAATATATTACCCAGGGTAACGCGTCTTGGATTTGGTGGGTATAGCTGTTCAACTCTCCTGTGTGCCCTAAAAAGGGCAGCTGCTATTTCCCTTTTTATGAAATGATAAACTGTGATGGTGTAGCTATCACATCGCAAAATTACATCTTCCCAGAGAGAGTTTGAACTTTTCGGTCAAATTCGACATTTTGTAACCACTAGCAAAGAATGACAGCTATAGAAAATTCGTAGATTTGACTGTGTTGCAGGCACATTGGCTGCTCTTGCATGTTTAAGTGCTCCCTCTCAGACCATACTCTGTATTCCTGTGCACGCGCGTGCAGTCGTGCGTGCAAACAGCTGTGGTATAAATTACGGTGTATTAATTTAAATAAAAATATATATTATAATATCCAAAATGAACAGTACAGGACATTTCTCCTGAACCTCCACGCCTGCTTTTGGAGCATTTTCAATCATATTCCTTATTCCATCACTACATTGATACCAATCACTGGCTTGACGTGATAATGGATGCCAGCATGACTTTTTTGGAATATATGAAATTAATTGTAAGACTAATGGAAAAAGTGTTTATCTAAGAAGTGTGTTAATTTAATTGCGCCATATATTGAATCCAAGCTGCATTTTATTCTGTATTAAAAGTTTTGTAGTCTGCATTCGATTTTTTTTATTTACTTGTAAAATTATGCATGTGCTAAGCATGTCACATGATAAGGAAAGGATACGGAAGGATCATAAGTTTCATGTAATGCTTGTTGAATCAATGAAATATGGAAATACATAAACCAGATATCAATTGTATCTAGAAGATAAATAAAGGATGTGAATGAAGGGTTTAAAATCTGTGAATTTCCATAACTTTCACGCATATATCATGTCTAAAATATTCACATATACGAAAATTAAATAACTGCTGTTGTTGATGAGATTTTCTTCATAATAAAATGAAAAGAAACCAAGCGGAGAACATGTGCATAATAAAGACCATACAGGTGGCATAAGATATTGTGATAAGAAAACAATGAAATATACTACATGCAATGCCAATATGTTTTATTTTCAATTATAATGATTGAATTGACACACCAATCTCAGATATTTTAAAATTCATGTCCAACGAAATTAATTGTGCTTCCATCTGTGCTCTTCTTTGATAATTTCCTTTTGGAGAACTTCATTTCGTCTTATCTGTAATAAATAAAAATGCAGTATGTTTTATGTCCACACTTTTAAATCGAGCTCTTTTTAGTGCACCCAGTACATAAAAACACACGTCTTGAGTATGCTTTCCACGTAAAATAATAATAATAATAATAATAATAATAATATAAGGGGTTCGATGGGTACACTGTAAATAGAAGTTCACATTGTAAAGAGTAGGTCACCCTCATGGAACCCATTTCCTTGATATCTATGGCTGCATGCACAACCAAAGATGATCTGCGGACTATCAGATCCGTGGATAAAATACTTGAAAGCTGTATATATATATATGATCTTCCCTGATTTTTATACCAGACGTCTGAATTTTCAGCAACCTGAGGCCTTCATGAAACTTACTGGTGCATGTAAACCCGTCGCCTACGAATCCATCTATGCATTTGCAGTGAAGACCAATATCTTCATCGCATACATCATTTCTCTCAATCACGGGTAAACCACTAGTAGCATTAAAGCACACGGCATTTTTCCCACATTCAACTGTAAAGAAGTAAAAAAAGGTGTAAATTGGCGTCAGGCAGACTTCTTACTCATACTTGAACCGGAGTTATCACATGGCTGGCTTACAGGGGTAATCACATCAAATATGTTAGTTATGATATTGATTAAAAAAAATGATATCAGATAATATATTTATTTCAAACGGCCAACGGCCACAATGCTAGAACTTTATCTGATACTAAATGCAGAACATCAGCTGGGAATAACAGAATATAATATTTATTGTATTTCATGCGCTAGCATAAACCGATATACACACAATTACACATGGTAAATCAGAGACATGACTGTGAATACCTAGTGAAAAAATAATCTGCAACCCAACAGACGATAGAGTTCCCACCTGTATGTTCGAGGTAAGTAAGCCACATCGAATGGTAGGAAAAACAGACCCTTTGATTAATATTTGTTGCTATACAAAGAGAACTTGACTAAGCTTATAAAATGTGAAAGGGACGGCACTTTCTTTGCACTGGTCATGTTTATGATAAAAGAATGTTTCTCTAAACTGCACCTCATCCAGTCAATTTCACCACTTTTATTATCTTATCTAACTTTTGTTTCTCAAAAGAAAGTTAATAAATACAATTCCATACCATGAAGTTGATATATCATATTATAGCTTAGTGTTTTGTACTGTTACCTACTGTCACCTGCTTCCTACAAATCTATATTTACAGTTAATGTACATTTTCGCCTGTTTGTGCTGGCGCATACAGATGCAGTAAATAATGCTTTCTGTTGCAGAGAATCATTTCTTGAATGATAACCAGACATATATTTGTGGAAATATAACGAACAGATTTATTATATACATGTTTGCTGACTCATCACTTTTATGCTTAACCAAATTTCACAAAAACGAGCACTACCAACGTTAATTATAATAGCATGAATAAATTTAAGACACTCACTGATGACGTCAGTAGTGGTATTGCACAATACAACATGACGAAAATCCACCCACTCCAAAAAATCCAATAGCCAAACTCGGCAATGTTCTTTCCAGTAAACTTTTAATACCGAAATGTATGCTTTTGGGTTAGAAAAGTAAAATTAACTGAGTTGTTAATTGCATATTTTCAATATGGCCGTCAATGTTTGAGGGAAAATAGAAAAACAACCAGAATTAGACGGATATACTTTATTTGTGGCTCGTGTAAATGTACTTTTTGTCGGAAGAACACAATAAGATAGCTAAGTATACACTAATTCATTTCTGTTATTGAAAAAACAAAATGGCCGCCAAAACAATTATTTTCATATTCTTTTATTCTTATTTACTGATGGTTTTATTCAACTATGATGCAAAGAATGTATTCATCCAACCCTCGGGTTGCAAATTTGCTAATGATAATAATAAGAAGAATTACAGTGAAATTATCATATTTCTCGTTTAATTAGTCTAACTAAAAGCATGTGTGATTTTTCTTTTTATTTTGATCTTTTGTTAGCCAATAACCTGTTGCTTGACATTAGGTGAGGGCGTAAGCCCTTCAAGTTGTCACTCCCATGGGTCCAAAAGATGAACAATACTATGTTATTTTTGTAATTATTTGAAAAAAATATAGTCTTTTAGGTCAGAAAAGTCAACTTAGATTTTACTTACTTCTGGGACATTGAGCACTTTTCATTACCCAAAATGGCCGCGAAATTTTTAAAAGAGTATAAACAATCATGCACACCCAACTATATACAGTGCGTGTATATTCATCACTGTGGTGTCTATTTGCATACAGAGGTGCATATTGGGATTTTCTTTGTCTGCCAAAAAGACTGCTTACCGGTTTGCTTTAGATAAAAAAGATGGTCAAATAATTTCCTTATTTTGATCGTAATTTTTTGTCCTGAATTTTTGTTTTTTCTGCAAAACAATGTAGAACTATAAGTTGGTATAATGCCAGTCCAAAAGCAGTTTTCAGATATGCGGACTTCAACAGTCCTGAACGACTTACCGATGGTGCACTTGTATCCGTAATAACCTTCGGTACAATTGCACTTGTAATAGACAAGTGGATTTGCATCTTCACCCTCTATGCATGTCGCATTATTTGCGCAGGGGCTGGGCCAGCACCCGACTGAAAATAAATGCACAGGTAATAACGTGCTGGGCATTCTCTATCAGTTTGCATAGCTCAAATTACTGAAATGTATCTTGGATTGATAATTAATCCTTGATTTGTTATTATTTTTATGATAACACAACCCATGATTTGTGCTTAAATTACACAGGTATTTGTGTATATTATTTCAAAATTATTATCCACATCGGACACATATTAATAAGTTTACTTGATGCTCTACAACTTGTCAATCTCATTTCCAGCCCCTAAAGAAAAAATGAGGTAAAAGTACTCTCAACATGACTTACAGTACGTTTCATCGGGAACATAACTGTAATTGCCAATCGCCATCAACCCCACAACAAGGCTGGAGAAGATCAATAAAATCATCGCTCCTTAGCAGATTTAGTGATCTGTACTTTTATGCTAAAATAAAACAGGATTTCAGCCGTGAGAAATGTTTGATAAAGGTGACCAAGATGTTGGTATGTTCATCCAGTAGCTTGAGTCTCGTCTCTCACACATGGATGTTCTAATACTTAAATCTAAACTCTCGCTCTCCTTTTTCTTTTCAACTTTATAATTATTTTATAAACTTAACTTACTTGGCAATTCACCTTAACTTATGAAATATATATAAATATAAGAAAGAAAAGCAAATTAAGGATCAAGCTCTATGCTGAAAATTTAGCTGAACAAATGAAATAATCAATGATTGCTGTTATTGTCCTGGTTAATTTGATATTGTTAAATTTTAAATCAAGTGACCGAAGTGATATTTGTATTGTTTTATTTAATCTAGTATGTTCCATTCGCCTGTGTTTCATTTTCCATTGCTGCCTTTTCCCAATCAAAATGTGAAAATAACTACTTTATCACGTACTCAAGTACCTATAAATGGTTGCATAGAAAACATAATAAGTATGACCCCAATGTCTCACACTTAGGTACATTGTATAAAACGCCAATTCCACCATAAATTAAAAGTGAGAGTAGCACTGATAAAATAATTTTTTCGACAAGACAAAACTTACCTCGTTTTCACTAACTGAAGTCAGCTTGGATAATGAGACTTCTCGAACAAGTCTGTTTCACTAAATAGACTACCAGTACGTGTCAAGCCGTCCATCATCATAAACCGGTACTTGACACAACCAACCAATGACAGTAGTTCCCATTTGAATAATTCTGTTTATTGGTTCCCCCTTTACCACATGGTCTTTTACGCCTCCAAGTTGCAGGGACACTGATTCTAATCCACCCCTGCTTTTCTGTATCACGACCCGCTAATATTCTGATAGAAATGTGTTGCTTGTCTGATGCAAACTTTGTATTTTCTCTAGGTTAGATATTATACATGTACTTATTTATTTTGATTATGATCCACTGTCATTTATTATTCTGATGAAACTCTATACCACATGTTGTTTAAACCCTCGGTATTACCAGCTCGATCTTGATTCCATATGTAACTCAGATCACCAATACTGACACTATCGGACGGTATTTTGTTCAGCAAAATTTTGCCTGGGGCGCTTCCATATCTGGAAGTCACATTTCTCATACGTCACAGCTCTGTCCCGCCTTCAGCTGCCTTTCCCGCCTTGAGCTGACGTCGTCTCGTGCAGACGATACAATCGAGACAAAGAACAAAGAAGCAAAGTGTTTGAATTTAGAACTAAGAATACCTCGCAATCTGAAATCAGTGCCACACCACAAGCACTGCTTTAAAAACCGATTTATTGTTATAACCATTGTCCACTCCTTATAGTGGTATCGGCTACAGCTGTCAAACTTGGCACACGGCAATCACGTCTATTGTGTTTATATCTTCAGGAATAAATGTTTTTTTTTTTTGATAGGCAATAAAATACAAAAACATATGAAATATCCTTTTTAATGTATTACTTATTTTTCAATTAAAATCTTAAATACAGTAAATAAAAATAAATAAAGCAAAATTAAACCTGTTTTTCGTCTCATTTTTCACTCAATTTGGACTAATTACATTCAACTGCAGATTCACTGCAGAGCACTATTCTTCAGTGGTACTGTAAAGCCAACACATGAAAAGGTATAGTGAGCAAGCTAGCTTTACATTGCCCTGGTACTCAGGACAGTTGTTTATTGATATTGATCATATTTTAAAACTTTCAATTTCTGCGCAATGCTGAAGCTATATATTTGATAATCACATTCAATGAGGAAGGCCAGGGTGTGACCGAAAGCTTTGTGAGGTACACATTGGTCCAGTACTGCGCACAGTGAAGTCAGAAGAATAATAAAGAAAGCATATTTTACGTCTCTGCCGGCGCAAGGTTGTTGGTCGAAATGCCATTTTCAGATCTGTCTCTCTCTTCCCCCCCCCCACCCCCCGGAAGTGTCACGTGCTGCGTAAGGTGAGAAGTGGTGGATTAACCTCCAAAATTAAAATACAGAGACGCATCTTTAGCCTTTCCATTTAATTTTTGGAGAATCATAGATAAGTTTATTTATTTTAACTGTACATTGATACAGCCTACCGCTTCAAATTTTAATGGATACCAGTATAACAGTTAGGAAAATATGAAACTACAGTAAGACTAATGGAAAATGTGTTTGTTTACGACCTCTCTAACTCTGACCCAGACAGAGAAGACCAGCTGTCTGTTATACTGTATTTGAGGCACCCTGCTCTTTCAAGTATCATCATGTTATCAAAACTTCAATTTTTCTTTCATACTATTCGCAAACTGAAAGTAAACTTATATGTTTCTTGTATTTTCTTCACAACCTGTAAGAATAATGCCCAAATTGTTAAACAGTGTCTAAGCTTTTCTTGAACTTTTCACAAACTGTTATCTACAAAGTTTTTGTAAACTTGTTGCAGATATCAAATAAACCTCAAACTTCCCACAAAGTACTAAAAATGCTGCAATTATTATCTTTTTAGAAAAAAAAACAAAAAAAAAAAAAAAAAAAAAACAGCAAATTTCAAGGCAAACTGTTCGGTTTGTGGCACTTTTGCTTTAGATTTGTTGCTTGTTTGCTTCAAAGTTTGGCTTTTTCTAAGGGTAGCTGTAATATTAGTTGAATTTGCTTTAGTTCCATGGTTCTGCCATATTCTGATGAAACTTTATACGCATGTTGCTTATTGATATCGATCGTATTTTAAAACTTTCAATTTCTACGCAGTGCTGAAGTTATGTATGTCGTAATCACATTCAATGAGGAAGGCCAGGGTGTGACCGAAAGCTTTGTGAGGTACATATTGGTCCAGTACTGCGCACAGTTGGCTAAACATTCAAACCCATGGTTATAACCCTCTGATGAAGTCAGAAGAATAATAAACAAAGCATATTTTACGTCTCTGCCGGCGCAAGGTTTTTGGTCGAAATGCCATTTTCAGATCTCCTTCTCTCTCTCTCCCCTCCCCCCCCCGGCAAGTATCAGGTGCTGAGTAAGATGAGAAGTGGTGGATTAACCTCCAAAGTTAACAAACAGAGACGCATCTTTAGCCTATCTATGTAATTTTTTAAGTTTGTTTATTTCAACTGTACACTGATACAGCCTACTGCTTCAAATGGTAATGGATACCAGTATAATAGTAAGGAAAATATAAAACTCATCAGTAAGACTAATGGAAAATGTGTTTGTTTACGACCTCTCTAACTCTGACCCAGACAGTGAAGGCAGGCTGTACTGTTATACTGTATTTGATGTGCAGTACTCTTTGAATTAGTATCATATTGTCAAAACTTCAATGTTGCTTTCCAACTATTCGCAAACTGTAAGTAAACTTATAGGTTTCTTGCATTTTCTTCACAACCTGCAAAATTAATGCCTAGGTTTTTGCGAACTTCTCAAAAATTGTTAGACAATGTCTAAGCTTTTCGTTAATTTATCACAGACTGTTAGATAAATTCAAAGTTTTTGTAAACTTCTTGCAAATACCAAGTAAACGTCAAAATTCCCACAGAGAACTAATAAACCTGCAACTGTTATTTTGTTAGATAAACCTGCAAACTTCATTGCAAACTGTTCGATTTGCGGAAAATTTGCCGCACGTGTTCCTTATCTGATGCAAATATTATATTTCCCTTAGTGTAGATTTTATATAAGTTGACTTTGATTCCGTTTTACGGTCCTTTAATCTTCTTATGAAACCCCATACACATGCTGATTATTAATATCGATCATATTTTAAAACTTTCAATGTCTACACAATGCTGAAGCTATAAATCTCGTAATAATATTCAATGAGGAAGGTCAGGGTGTGACCGAAAGCTTTGGGATGTGCATATTGCTCCAGTACTGTGTGTAAATTGCAAAATGTTTAAACCCACGGTCATAATCCTCTGACGAAGTAAAAGAATAATAAACTAAGCACATTTAACGTTCCTGTTGGTCGAAATGCCATTTCAAATCTCTCCCCCCTCGAGTGTCAGGTGCCGAGTAAGGAGAGGAGTGGTGGGTTAATGCCCAACATTAACAGACATAAAACTCATCCTAAAACTTCGAATGTAATTTACGGAGAACCATAGATCAGTTCACTTATTTCAACTGTACATTAAAACAGCTCAACTGCTTGAAATGGTAATGGATACTAACATAACGCTTAGGAAAACATAAAATACCAGTAGGATTAATTGAATATGTGTTTGTTTACGGCCTCTCTAACACTGATAATGTTTATCAGTATAATGCTTTGGAAAGTATGAAACTTCCAGTGTGACTAATGAAATATGTGTTTGTTTACGGCCTCTCTAACACTGATAATGTTTATCAGTATAATGCTTTGGAAAGTATGAAACTTCCAGTGTGACTAATGAAATATGTATTTGTTTACGGCCTCTCTAACACTGGTAATGTATATCAGTATAATGCTTTGGAAAGTATGAAACTTCCAGTGTGACTAATGAAATATTTGTTTGTTTACGACCTCTCTAACACTGGTAAAGTATATCAGTATAACGCTTTGGAGAGTATGGCGAGTTATGAAATCCAGACGCTTGCGCTCGGTCGAAATGCGCGCTTCTTTCGAGTTACGGCAGGGCTCCATAACTCGAAAATACCACAAATTGCGACCGCACGCAAGCACAGCGATCAATCGCCATTTGCAATGACGATTGTACCCACCTGCTAAATTGAAGCCTTAAGTTGGATTGCTGCATAATGTGAAGACGGAATAACACAAATACACATATTGTAATTTTATTCATTATGATGCTAATCAAGATACTGTTTTAATCTTTAGGAATATCACAATCACAAATACTAAAATTTGAAATGACACCTATAAAATGTCAAAAACAATTCAACGGCACCGCACTGGACTCATCTTATTGAAAGCGTCTTTTGCCATTGCTATACGTTTTGAATTTCTCTGTTACATTTTGCATCTGGTCTCAACATGAAACCGACGTACTTAAATTGGTATACTTGTTTGATTTTAACTCCTTTGCAGCTGATGTTGCATTTGGGTATTTGTATTTTCCTTGATGCAACCTTGCATTCCGTTTACTTATTTTGGTTAAGCTTCACAGTCCTTTAATGAAGTGAAATGTGATATAAAACATTTTTATCATTCTTGGTCCTTTATATTAAGAAAGCAAAATTAAAAAAAAATAGAGATATATTTAATGGAATACATTTCATTGAATTGTATATATATAGCTTACTAAATACAATTAAAGTAATATTTTAGAAAAATAGTTCACACTTAATTCTCTGTTTTCCTTTGAATCAATAATTATTTTATATTTCTCAAATTATTTGATATATATATATATATATATATATATATATATATATATATATATATATATATATATATATATTTGGTATTATTACATGATCCATTATCCGTATCTGTTGTTGATATCAATTTGTTCATTATATAATGAAATAAGTAAATGCGGCAACATGTGGATAATAAGACATTTTAAAAAATTAATACTTAAATTTGTACAACAAGAAGGCCAAACTGTTTTACTGTCGATTATAACAATCGAACTGATACATCAATCTCAGATATTTTTAAAAGAAATTCTTTCTTCTTCCCGTAAGAAATGAACATATGTTTTATGTACAGCATAATCATACTTTATATTCTAATTCGCTTACTCTCAAACGTATATAAATTATTTATCGTCTAATAACT